TGACATGTGCAAGGTGCTGCACCTGGGGAGGAAGAACCAGCACCATACCTGCAGGCTGGGGAAATCCCTTCTCGTCAGTGCAGAGGCAGAAAAGGATCTTGGAGTCATCATTGATGCCAAGATGAACATGGGCTGGCAGTGTGGGGATGCAGTCAGGAAGCCAACAGTACCTTGTCATGCATCCACAAATGCATCTCAAGCAGGTCCAAGGAGGTGATTCTCCCCCTCTATGCGGCACTGGTCAGGCCGCAGCTGGAGTACTGCATCCAGTTCTGGGTGCCGTACTTCAAAAGGGATGTGGACAACATGGAGAGGGTCCAGAGGAGGGCCACTGACATGATCAGGGGGCAGCAGGGCAGGCCCTACGAGGAGAGGCTACGGGACCTGAACCTGTTCAGCCTCCACAAGAGAAGGCTGAAGGGAGATCTGGTGGCCATTTACAAACTGGTCATGGGGGACCAGCAGGGATTGGGGGAGTCCCTGTTCCCCCAAGCACTATCAGGAGTGACAAGAAATAACGGTCACAACCAGGCAGAGGGTAAATTCAGACTAGACATCAGGAGGTTCTACTTCACTGTCAGGGCAGCTAGGATCTGGAACCAACTTCCAAGCGAAGTGGTGCTGGCTCCTACCCTGGGGGTCTTTAAGACAAGGCTAGACAATCACCTTGCTGGGGTCGTTTGAGCCCAGTACTCTTTCCTGCCATGGTACAGGGTCAGACTTGGTGATCTGCTCAGGTCCCTTCTGACCCTAGTAACTATGAAACTAGGACTACTTTAGGCCAGGTATAGACATTACACTTGTACCGGTATTAGTGATTGGAAACTGATCTATATCCAAATAGAACATGCGTTTGGTATACACACTGGTTGAAAAATGCAGAACCCAGTCTAAGATTTGCCCCCACCACCAAAGGGTGAATGTGTGTGATGTGCACTACCTATCTAAACTACATTGCTTACAGAAAATCTTGTAACTTATATTGATTCCACCTCAGACTTTTTGAATGTCTCTACCTAGCCTTGGTGACTAAGGGCAGCAGGTCCTGATTTAGAAAATGGAATGGAGATGAACGTAGCTTCTAAAAACTATGTATTTTTTGTCTATAGTAACTTCTTTATAATTTTCCTGAAGACCTGACACTAACTTCAGAACCATTATGAACCTTCCTTACTTACCTTTATCTGTATGCTGAACAAAATTCATTTCAGGAATCCAAGCTGGTGCTAATATCACTGGGTACAGCATATTCTTTAACCTCATCTCGATACCTGAAGACAAAACAAACCTTACCACATTATACACAAATATGGCAGACAGCCAAAGTTAGCAACTTCTTAGGAAAAAGGAAGTATTATTATGTGACAGTCCTTTTTCAGAAACTGGGTAGCTCTAACGACTACATCTTATACTGATTATGCAAGTGTTTTAAAAGCCACAAAGTGGTGCCCACATCAATCACTGGCCAATGGTGAAATGTGCATAACGGAATTTTAGGCCAGAACCCATTAAAATTATTTCTGATATAGAATCTTTTTCTCCCATAGTTGCACTTTATTTGTGCGCATCAACTACAGCCATCTTCTTGTTGAGCTATGTAACGACAAACAGGTTCATATGTCAGGGAGGAAATTTCAGATTGGTTATATAAATATCCTTCACACCTCCTCTCACCTGGAAATAGTTTGAGTGTTCTGTGGACCTTCATAACCCAAGAGGTTTACGGTAAGTGGTGCACGCAGGTGCACGTGCACCCCCTGCACATGGTGGTACACCCCCTGCAAAAAAGCAGTTGCTGCTCACCACCCTGGCAGCATCTGTAGGCAGTCCATGATCGCCCCTGGCCACCACCGCCTGCAGGTGGTCACCGATCCCTGGTCGGTGCTTACCACCCCCTCCTCCCCACCAGTGCCGGTGGCATCTGCAGGAGCTCCCCACTCAATGCCACCATGCTCCTGCCAGCGCTGGTGCAGCCGTGCCCCCCCAGCCACCAGGGGCACGTGCCGTTCATGGGTTTACCCAGCCCAAAGCCAAAGGAAATGACAGGAAATTTCATGACTGGATTTACCAGAATGCAAAAGTGAATCTAGGATATTGAAAGGACAGGGGAGGGAGGTGTTCAGCAGAGAGTTCACCAGAGCTCCTGGCAGTGGACAGCTCACTGCACATATGCTTAATCAAAGTGGGGATGTGGCCACACCACCATACACCTGCTAGGTCCACCTGTGTCTGAATGCAAGTACATTTTCAATGCACTGCTCCCTTCTCAGGGCAAAGGAGAGAAGCTTGTAACTTGTGCCTCTTGTCAATAACCCACCTGAACTGCTCAAAAAAAATAACGAAAGGCCTGAGGATCTGGAGTAACACGTATTTAGTTTGGCACAATGAAGAAGAGGAAAAAGCTGTGTTCATGAAACTAATCCACATGAGAAGAAGAAAAACTTTCCCCTCACACCATGCCCTGAAGAAACCTCAGGCATTTCATACCAATGGCCTGAAGGAAAAAAAACAAACTTGTTTTATACTGTGCTGCTGAAAAATCTTCTGTGGGTAATTTTGCAACTGCTCAAATTGAAAATCAATTCTTCCTCTTACCCACTTCCGTGTTCCCTACCACAAGCTTGGCATTGGGGTGCTGGGCTTTGAGTGCTACCAATTCTTGGAGTGTTGTGGGCTGGATCCACATCACGCGCTCGCCTTTGAAACATAGTTGTTTATGGGGTTTGCTATTCTGAGTCTGTGGAAAGAAAACTGGATTGAAGTTAGATTGTAAAATGCTGCTACCATACCAAGAATTCCTGCCCCTACCCAGCCTCCTCCCTATTTATCTTACTGACTGATTCTCATGAGTGCCCATGCACCCATTAGCAAGTAGTTCCTTCCCTTCATTTAATGCTGACCAAAAAGAGACATTTTTATTTTCTCTACCCTGAACACTACTGGTGTTTTATGTTGCCATATCCCCCTTATGAGAAGAACTCTCATCTCTAAGGACCATCTGTCCTAAGTTTTGTCAGCTTCTGCAGGTATAATCTGGAAATGAATAGAATCTTTTGCTTGCTTTCTGTAATGAGATTGCAATCATTGCATAGGTCTTAATCACTCTGGAATGAGAATTAGTAGCAACAAACCCAAACCCAGACTCAGACTTGTCTCTTGGTTCTCCTCATCCTGTGATTGCTGCTTAAGAGGAATAGTAAACTTGAGAACACAGAAGACTAACATGGCTTCCTTCCAAAAACACAAAGGCAGTCCTTAAACAGGAAACTTTCTTATAGAGAAAACAGGGGAAATTTGAGACCGAACAAACAACATCTGTGATAATCTCTAGAAAGGACTGAAAATACCCTAGGTCAGTGGTTTTCAAACTTTTTTGTCTGTGTACTCCTTTACCTGCAAAATATTGCTGCTCATACCCCCTATCCCCCATGTGTCCCTGCACATTTACCAGTGTCAACATGCAGCAACACCATTACCCATCTTGGGTTCACCAAACAAAAGCTCCACTGCCATTCTTAAAATGTAGGCACGTACTCTTGGTAAAGAGCTGCATACCCCCAGGGTAGTATGCATAACCCAGTTTGAAAGTCACTGACCTATGTAATGTTATATTTGGTTTAGCAGCTGGCCTCAGCAGTGAAACTAACAACAGAGTTTTAAAGATCGTCTGTTAAATGTACAGGATACTAAAACACATGAGCTGATAAAATCCTGGTGTAGGACATCTGCTGATAGAAAATCTGCCCAGGATTCAGGATGACCCAAGAGGAAACCAAAGCAGCTAAAATACAGAATGGCAGTGGGTCTTAGGCAGAAACTGGGTAGCTCTAATGGGAATGCACTTAATCAGCCTACCTAGGGTATCCTTGGTAGCCTTTACTGGCAGAGCTCCTACATAACACACTGGAGATCTAACGTCTCCTTTGGTTTAGCCATGATATCTCATTTTATCAGCATCTTCCTTTGCACTGTGGGCTTCTTAAGGCAGGAGCCACTGGGGAACTGGGGACATGCAAATCCTGCCTGAGATAATCAGTTTCAGCGAGTCGCATTGCTCTCCTGTATGAACAGACCTACCAGTAGCTCTGGTGGGAAGATAGGCTCCTGTGTGGGATCTAAAGGCTGGAACTCAGCTGGATTGAACAAACTGGAAGATATTGTTACCTGTTAAAGAATACAAATTGAATTTTACTACCATTCCTTCAGTCTATGTGCAACTTCCATTCATTTCTCATTACATATGTGGCAGAGCACCTTTGGTGCCTGCCACTTTAACGGCTAAGACCAAGCAGAAGGGCAGCCTGCAGATGGCTGTACTCCCCATCACAAGTCACATGGCCAGCAGGGGACTACCTGGTTGAGGAAGAGGGATCAGCTGCTAGTAATAAGAGCAGGACTGAGCAGGAGAAGCCAGCAAACTGCTGACTGCAGTTGTAGGGAGAACATTGCCCAGCTGCAGCCTTGGCTCACAACATCTTGGAGGTAAGGGCAGGAGTGATGGGGATGGCAGGAGGTTCCTGGTCCTGGGGAATGACATAAAACTACTCCCTACCACGGATGGATAGTATGGTGGGGCTGCCTGTGGTGGGGTATTTCTCAGGAAATGCCACCCCAGTTGCCTCCCTAGTGAAAGGCAAGTATGGGGTGTCTTATAACCCCAGCCCCCACAACCCAGTGGGTAGCCCAGTTGTAGGGACAGGCAGGGGGGCCAGGCATGCCTAGAGAGAGGCACCTGAGCCCTAGGGGGTATAAGACCCCAGTGGCCCTAGCGAGGGGGTGGTAGAGTGGCCCCAGTGATGGGGTGTAGTGAATGAAGTAGGCCGTGCAGAGTAGGGTGTGCATGGGTGACCTGAAGGACTGCACAGAGTGGGTGCAGAGTAGGGTTTGCATCGGCAGGCCTGAAGGGCTGCACAGGGGGCACGCAGAGTAGAGCTGCAGGAGTGGCCTAAAGGACTGTGCACAGGCCAACCCCAAAGAGTTTAGCAAGCAGTTGATGGCCCGAGTGAGAAGGCTAGTGAAAGGGCATAAGATGGAGGCCCCAATGAAGGGGCATAGAGGCCAAGGTTAGTCTCCAGATGTCTGAGGCTGGGGTTGGGCTTGAGGCCAAATGCAGCTCAACAAAAGGACCGGAGGAGTCACAGTGAGTGTACTGTGAACCTTTGGCCTAGTATTTATTTGGCTGCTATCTGTGTGGTCAGAGCCATATATAACCCCCTAGGCATTGGGGCATTAAATGGACAGCCTCCCACAACTCAACATCTAGTTTAGTACATCAGGTTGTGGCAGGTGAGACAGGGCAGACTGCCCTAGATAGGTGGGCTGGCTGACATCAGGACCGGCCTTGTGATGGCACCCTGTCACAACAGAACCATTTTTTTTCATTACATGAAAAAACAGATAAGACTGATACAGTGAAATGACAAACAAAAAAAAACGGGCTTGCAGCTTAGATTTATCTGACTTTAGTTGGGATTCCACTCAGGATAACTCACAGAGTGTTATTCAACCTTATTTCTACCCTTTTTACACCGGTAGCTTTGGGGGAGCAGGGATTATGGAAAATCAAAATCAGATCGGCCCTTGGTGCTTTGTTTGACTAAAATTAATATAGATTTCAGGCTTTGGCAAGAATAAATAAATAGAAGAAAAAAGTTGAACAGCAAACAACTAACAAAACTAATGAAAAGAAAGGAAAAAAGAAAATGGTTGTGAGAGGCCTTACTGCATTTTCTTCTTTCTCATTCATGCAGCAACTTGGGCCATTGGCTCTTTTTCCACAGCAGCCCCGGTTCTAAAGAGAAAAAAATAATTCCTCAAACACTTATGCAAAATCAAACAATCCTAACTTTCTTTACAGGCAAATCCTCACCCATTAATGATTCATGAATCCTAGAAACTTGAGGTGGAAGAGTTTGTTAGTCTATTCATTGGCAACCATAATATTATTCCCTCTAACCTACCATCCAGCACTTTGTCCAGTCTGGTTTCCAAAAACACAAGCAAAATATGTTGAAAAATGGGATATATATTTCACAAACATTTTTAATTTTTCAATGACCATAGTAAAAAAAAAACAAACTCAAATTCCAAAAACCTGAAAAGCAAAAAAATTAAGATTTTCTTTTCCTCATTTTCCACTTTTTCCCTTTAACCATTTGCTTCCTAGCGGGAGGAGAAAAGAGAGGGAAATGTGAAAATTTTAGATCTGTCTGTGGGCAGGGCACCCGACAGTGCTGCCAGATCTTTTGAAGGGTGTGGTGAGATGTCAGGAGATAAGTGGATAAAATTGGAATCAAAACTTATTTTCAGGTTTGCTGTTTTGACATTTTATTGAAAAATACAAAATTCTTTAAAAACACAAGTTTTCCAATATGTAGAAGTCAGTGGGCATGTCTACATGTGCATTAATGCACAGATTACAGTGCATTACATTAGTACCTGTTATTACAGGTATGCATTATGATTATGGCGCATTACTTGTTATTAGTACCTGTAATAACAGGTACTAATGTAATGCACCGTAATTGGCGCTACCACACAGTAACACTGGCACACAATTATTAGATGATGCTAATGTGCAGTTGACTAATTCTACTGTGCATTAGTGCATTAGCACAGCTTTCACCATGATGCGCTGTGCAGTAGAATTAATCTACTGTGCTTTTAGCGTCTTGTGTAGATGCGCCCAGTTTTTAATAAAAAGAATAACTCAGAGTGAAAATTATAACTCAACTCTTGATGCAAATAAGAATGCATTGCACCATTCTCCTAAGAGCAGAAGTTTTCATGAACCTGATCTTCCAACCTGTGGGAAATTACATGATTTTGAGTCACTTTTCATTCAGGAATGTAATTTAAAAATTCAGAATTTTTCCAAGAAACAAAATTCTGAAAAAAATTATTTTGGAGTAAAATGTTTTGCTTCCACAAAATTGATAATATTCCATTCAACTTATCTAAATCCATTTTTAGGTCAAATATAATGATACCTGTGTTGAAAAGTCATTTCAAAATGAACTATCAAAATTCTCTTTCCAAAAACTTCAGAATGGGACACCTTACTTGATCTATTACAGTGGTTCCCAATGGTTTTGGACTCAAGGGACCCCTCATTGGACTTGAGACACTCCTCATTGGACTCTATTTGAACTGAGTGTTACTGAAATTGGAAAATTAAGTTATAGATTACAGTGCTTACTTTCTTGCAGAAAGGCCTGTCAGTACAGATGGGAGAACATCCAGGGACACTGACAATAAGTGCAGGGACCTGAGCCTGCACCTATCTGTGTGTCAGGTATCCAGGTTGTAGCCGTATTGGTCTAGAGGCAAAAAGAATCAGAACTTGTGGCAGAGGTGATTATCTTTTATTAGAGCAACTAGATATTTGCAAAAAAATGGTTGGGTTTTTTTTGCAAATATCTATTTGGTCTAATAAAAGATAATCACCTCTGCCACAAGTTTTGATTCCTATTTTATCCACTTATCTCCTAACACCTTACCACACCTTTCAAAAGGTCTGGCAGCACTTTAGGGTGCCCTGCCATAAACGGATCTAGAATTTTGAAAAGGGAGGTGCAGATGGTATGGCATATCATCATATATAACACAACATGTATTTTTCTCCAGTTAAAGATAAATTAGAAGCTTTACTAATATGTTAGAGGGCTAGCAGTATATTATTCAGTTTAAGATCAAAACAAAGAACATAACTATTGGAATGTACACTAATTTGCTAGAGTATATGTACAGTTTAAAAAAACACAACAGACTAGGCAAAAATAATCAAAGGATATTGTGTCATTAGTCCTGCAGTAATTATAGTTAATTGTATGTCTTTTTCAGATTCATAAAACAAAATCGAGCCTTCTTGAGTGTCTTGACAGTGCCTCCAATATTTCCCTGTCAGTCATTTCTACACCTGAGTTAATATGACATCACCTGAGCTACATTTTTTTAGCTAGAGCTAAAAACAGTCTGCAGGACCGTACAGTAGAAGAGAGACATAACCAGGAAGGGCTACTAGACAGAAAATTGCAGAAGCAAAGATAGTTTGAATAGTGAAATATGATGACCATTTAAAAGGAGAGGGGGTCTTTAACACCTGTGGTGGAGTGCGGAGAGATTAACAGGAATCGGGGAGATGATAATAATGAGCCATGAACAATTGACCCTGTCAGCACAGCCTGAATAGAAATGCCGCTGCCTCTCCCAGGCAGTTAGTTTTGAAGTTTGGGATCAAGGGTTGTGGGGTGCAACTGCAGCACTGCACTGTCTCTGGATCCACCCCTGACCCCAACACCCTGGTTAAGCATTGCTGATATATTAGGTGCCTGCAGCTCTAGCCTTTTTCATCCCAGGGTAGCCATTTGCTCAATGCAAACAAGCTATTACCAGGTCCTCAGGTTCTTCTGGTCAAGCTCCTACTATAGTGCAGACACCTCCCTTGGGGATGTACATCAACTGTCCATTCGAGACAGACACTGCTATAACTTACATCGGTGTACAAACCGACACTGCTGTAAATGTGTTACCTTATCTAGCGTTCTACAATTTGTTCTCTAATGTCAATAATATGTTTGTCAGTGAGGGTTTAATACCAGAGTTCTCTAATCTAGTGAACAGTTCAGACCTGATTAAGTGCCTGTTGTTCCATTGTATCCTCATGGCTGGGCTCAGAGAGACAATCAAATAAAATAAATTAATTAAACTATAAGTTAAGACAACTGCCTTTTTAATTCCACTTACTGCACTGTTTTCCTTTTCAGTCTTACAGCACCCTGGGCCATTGGCTGCTCTCCCACAGCAACCCCAATCCTGCATGGACAAAAATTGTTGAGAGAAAAAAATCTGTAGATTCAATGAAAACTTAACAAGTTTGATTCACTTTTAAGAGAAATTGGTCCCCTTTTATTGTTATTTCTACCACTGAAATATAGAAATGGGACATGGAAGATGCCAAATAAGTGCATCTCTGTGCTTGCTACTGTATGACTGTTTTCTGCAGCTTATTTTGTAGGACATGTCCAGTTTAGGATTAAGTAGCTTGAGTAATGGAGCTGCTACCATTTCCCTGGGAAAACTGCTCCAGTTTGTAATAGATTTTCCTGTGGCTGCTGTTTCATTTTATCCCATTACACAATTACATGTGCATGTTCTATTCAGAGTGACTTGTTTATTTCTTGGTGTTTTTGATACAACAACAGTCCTCCCATAACAATAATTACTGCACTATCTTGTGTAGTGTTCTGCCTCTTCCTACAACCCAACTGGGGACTATTTTCATAAAATCAATTTTCAAGTTAGGCTCCTCCAAAGTTTGTCCTCTTTTGTACACTGTAGTTTCTCACCATTTCATATCCAGGATATTTGGGATCTGTTTTGTTATGGAGGGGAGGCTAGAGGGCAAGAGTTTTACCAAAAGCATGATGAAAAAATCTGATTTAGAGGTGACCTGATTTGGGACCACATGCTGGTACACTTTTTCATAAATAAATTCAACTGTCCTGAACAATTATTGTGATTAAGTTGTTCTAGTCATATTATCTGTACAAGAGATACACATATGACAGGATCCCGCATTATGTTTAGGATTTAATTAGGAAGCAGGGATGTACCAAATGTATTTTCTCTTCCTCCCAGTTCAACTGTGCACTATATTTGCTGCTGAAAGTTAGGTAACATCTTCCAGAAATCTGCACTGCCACCTGAGGCCACTTACTTTAGCAAACGTCCTGTACCCCTCCAGAATTGGTCTGTATCCAGTACAGCGACACAGGTTTCCTGCATTGCCAGTGCAAAAGAATAAAAGGTAAGAGTCCTTCTATTGCAAATTTCTATGCAAGCAGTGAAGGTTGGCTAATTACAACTGACTAGTTACCCACCATCTAGAAAAATGAAGGGATCAATTCTCACAGAATCATAATGCTGGAATGGACTTTATGGGTCACAAGTACAGGATGTGTTGTTTGTAAACCATCCCAGGAAGATGGTTTTCCAATTTCTTCTTAAAAGCTTCCAAGGAAGGAGATTGTACAGCATTCCACAGACAGCTTGCTTCATTGTCTACTAGTATAACAGCAAAGATTTTTTTCCCCCTGAGATTTAATCTAAATCTGCATTTGGTTTTATTTCCCTAGGTGTAGCATCTTACATTTGCCTTTGCTTAATTTCATTCTACTGTCCAGTGCCCCATTCTCCAAACTATCAACATTCTTTTTAATTCTATTCCTATTCTCCAAAGGGTTTACAAGCTCTCCCAGTCTGGTGTCACCTGAAAACTTAGGAAGGCCTGTACTTTTGGATTAAAATCATTTATAAAAATGTTAAACAGCATCAGATCCATTAGAGACATCTGTAGAACCCCTCTTGAAGCCTCCTGCCCTTCTGACATTGATTCATTTATAGTTATTCTTTGCTCATGGTTATTCAGCTAATTGTGTACCCACGTAACAGCAATCCTATCTAGCCTGCGTTTCTCTAGTTTATTTTTGAGAACTTCTGGAACTGTATTATTGAAGTCCAAGTATATTCTGCCCATTGCATTCCCTTCATCCCTTTTACTAGCTACCCTGTTAAAGAAGGAGATCATGTTGGTTTGGCATGATTTGTTCTTAACAAATCAATGCTGGTGATTAGTGATTACCCTTTTCTCCTCCAGGGGTTTACAAACTGACTGCTTTATAACGTGCTCCAGAAAAACTTGCACAACACCCAGCATGGGACACAGACCCACAACCCTAAGATTAAGAGTCTCCTGTTTCACCAACTAAGCCAGTCAAGTTCAGTCCTGTACATCTGATCTCCTCTCAGCACAGGTGGCGATCCTGAGGCTAGTTATAAATCCCTGATTGAGCCTAGGTTCAGCCCTAGCCCCAGGATTAGTTAAAGCCACCAGGAGTCTGATATAAAGTAGAGAAGAGAACTTGCATAATGGAGCCTTATTCCTTCATGTTCCCAGCCCACTACACAGAGCCTACACAACAGTTACTAAGGGCTATGCATAACTGGCACATACACTATTTCTATCATCACCATTGCCATTGTTGAGGAGCATCCCTTCATCAGGGGACTTATTTAGGTTGCAAACTCCTTATGGAGAGACCAACTTTTCATTCTGTATTTGTACAGCACCTAGCACAGCAGGGCATGGTCTGTGACTATGGCCCTGAGGCACTGCTTCTGTAAAAGTATTTTAATAATGATAATAAGAGGAATTCTTCTCTGGCCATGTCTGGCTAGAATCCTTTCATTTCAAACACCCTGGGCAATGTAAAGTGAACAGCTTATAGCTGACTGGTTTTAAGGTAATAAATGAAACTAGTGCACCTCCATCCCATTTGAAGAGGCAAATGCAGCCAAAACAGCACAAGTTGCAACTCTGCAGGCTTGTGTTAGAATAGTTATTACCTTGAAAAGCACCTTCTATCTCCTCCATGTTGGGCTCAGGTGTGCTGCGAAGTAAGGCATACATGGACATGACAATGCCAGGAGTGCAAAAGCCACACTGGGATCCATGGCTTTTTGCTATTCTCTCCTGAAAAGAAAAGTGGGAACAACAACCAGTTAACAGTGTGTGGCTGATTTCCTGACCGTGTCAGCTGGCACAGGCTGGTGGGATGTGCTTGAGTGCACTGGTGCAGGGACTTGTTGTTGCAAAAGTGAAGTCAAGTCCAGGCAGGTGGCATTTCTACATAAGCAAAGCATCCTGCACACACTGTGTGAAGTCAAACTCACACCTGCTGGGTTGTGCTGTTATTAACATTGTAAATCCAAAGAACACTGCCCAGACCAAGTTACTCCCCACAGAAGCTCTGTCCCTGTCCCTTACTTGAGCTGCCCAAGGAGCTATTCAATGATGATAGTAAGGAGAGCAAGACAAGCATGCCACCATGAGTCAGCAGAAAGCAGCAGCTTAATGTAGGGGCTTTGTTCCCTGCTAGCAAGACAAGTCAGCAAACCAAAGGCCAGCCACTCTGGGCATAACAAGTTGCATCATGGGCGGGCAATTATTTTGGGCAGAGGACCACTTACTCAGTTTTGGCAAGCCATCGAGGCATGTATGACAGGCAGCCAGGGGCAGATTAATATTAATTTTCTAAATTTTTTAGGGGCCCTGCAGGCCGGATGGAATGTCCTGGCAGGCCGCATCCAGCCCACGGGCCACATTTTGCCTACCCCGAGTTACATCATCTTATAACTTAATAGTACGAATGGCTTACCTGGGCTGGGTGCAGCCTTGTTTTTGTGTTTCCTATGCCTTCGACAGTAGTTACTGCTACCTGATGCAGGGCACAGATGGGGAAGAGGCAAGCATTTGCAGAGTAGTGGCTAGAATCATATATTAAGGTCATTTCATTTCTAAAATCATTTGCCAGTGCTAGCATGCCCATGACTCAATCTGGTTATGACAGGGGAATGGACTAAGGCTGGCAGCCTGCCTAGCACAGAAAAAATTAAGAGCTCTGCTCAGGCAAAACACTTAAGGCCTAAATTCTCGGGGATATATTTAACCTAGGGTTTCTGCACCAAAGAGGAAAGTCCAGGTGGAAATTTCCAGTGCAACTTTGTGGTTCTGAAAGACACTCTATCACAGTGATGAATGTAGTGTAAGACCATCAATAAAACAAAATGAACTGAACATAATTAATAATTCGCCAAATCCTATGGTTCACACTCAGGCAAACTTTAGTTGAGAACACTGAGCGTTTCACCCGAGTAAGAAATACAGGATTTTGCCCAGCATTTAATATCCTCAAAGCACTTTCAAAGAGTAAATTCATTTGGCAGTTTAGATGAAAATATTACAAAAGGGAAAAAGCAACTGACGTGTCAAATGACTCAATCAGGCCTTCCACAGAAATTGGTACCTAGTTGAGATTACAACTCAAAAATTTCTTTTTCCCATATACTCAGTCTATACTCAGACTGCCCAGAAACACCTGTTTCAGGCGGCAAAAAAGGTAATAATGGTTCAGATTAAAGATAGAATACAACAATATTGCCAGAATTAGCTATTTCTTCCTTCCTTATCTCTGCTACAAGGATAGCCTTTGAAAACTATCCAACTGTTAAGGAATGCAATAATTCAAGGTGGGATTTTTTTAAGGAGATCCAGTCATTTTTCTTCTGAGAGTCATCCCTTCATTCTAGGCTGTGTGAAAAAGTCAGATGATCAGACACACCTCTTAAAATATCTCTTAGTACTTTTCAGCATTTGAATGTTTTCCCATTCTGCACAGAAATAAATACTCAGTGTTTTATATCTTCGTGATTCATTTTTCATTGCTTAGCACCACAAATAAGCAAGAATGGAGAATAACATAAATTCCTGTGGGTGCATCTACATGTGCTATTAGTATGGAACAATTAACTCTGGTCCATATTGCGCCAGTGTTTATTGTTCTCGGGTGCACCATTTGAACGTGCACCTGGGATCACAGCTGAGCTGCGTAAGAACAACCCTGATTGGCAGGGGCCGTTGGAGAGGGTCAGCCTACCAGTCTGGAGCTGCTCCAACCCAGCTCAACATGCTGCAGAGGGACTGGCTGGGGCACGAGGGTGTCCTAGTGTGGGACTAGCCAGCAGGCAGCACCTGCACTGAAGCGCCCTTGTGCCCCAGCCAAACTGGTCAGCATCTACATGTGTGCTGCTGTGGTGTAAAAAACTCCACAATACGATAGTACTTGTATTTACAAGAAGTAACCTACTGTGGCATTAATTAATTTGCTCTGTACTAATAGCACTACATGTATAAATGCTGAGACATTTACTGCAGAGCTAATTAGGGAGCTCTGCAGTAAATGTCTCTCAGAGGCATTCCCTGTGTCAGGTAGGAGCAGGCACTTTGTAGATTAAAGGCATACTTGCAGGAAGAGTGGCTGTCTACCAACAGAAAGCATAAAATAAAAAGCAGAAAGCATATAACAAAATCCAAGCAGAGCAATTATTACTTCATTCTTACCAGAGCAAAAACCTGATTGCATTACAACAGAGAGTGCTACGTCAGGTTCATAAGGACTTCCGTATCAGGAATGACCTTTGAGGTTCTGTGATAGGAACCAATGCATATGCTTCATGACAAGGAGTAAAACCATGTAAATACTAAGTAATACTTCTGGAGGAAATATTTTCTTGTTGCTACCTCCTGAGCTTATTTTCTGAAATGGAGCTTGAGATTTTGGGAGAAACATACCTTTCAAACAACATTTTTTAAATCATGAAACTATAGTGCACGGTCATTTTACTACACATTTGTTTTAGACATCCAGCTTGCAAAGGATACATGATTTTCTTTTGGAGGTTATCATACTTGGATATCATAACTGTACAAGCACCACATCCACCTTCTCCGCAGCCTAGCTTTGTTCCACATAGGCCCACTAGGAGAAAAAGCATTAAGGAAAACAAAGGAGTGTAGCAAAGGCCCTAGAAAACCGTCTTGGAGGAAACCTTATGAAGCCAAATCTTGCAATCTAGTATCTGAATATTCTGGCTGAAACCTAGTTCCTACATTTTTTACTTTTGATTATATTATTAACGGTTTCATTTTTACAAGTCTCAAATACTGATGTGAAAACTACAGGATCAGTATAAGCTGAGAAAACTAGGTGAACAAAACCAGAGGTGCCTGATATTAGCCATATAGCTCTAGATCCCCGTTTTAAAAACTAGTCTCTCTGATGATCAAATTCAGGAATCTGTACAAACAATGCGATGAAAAGAAGCAATAATAATACCAAGCGTTCTCTCCTGTTGAAGACAGTAAAACTGCATGTGTTTAGAGTTCAGAGATCCATTGATTACAAAAGGAATTCAATGAAGCCCCAATTTTACTAGGAATTTAAGCCCATGACTAACTTGAATTACTTGAGTTGTCCCAATGAGCTAAATTGGTCCATGGCTATCATCCAAAAAAGCCAGTTGACTGTCTATACAGAAAGATCAATAGCATATACACACATGTATTCTTACATAAAACATAACATACATATTCATGCATATATAAAAACAAATATTTGCTTGTTTCCTGGGGCTATGTTACCTTGTACATGCTGAGCCTTTCTGCAAGGTTTCCTTGATGGCCTGATTCTAATGGAGTCAGAAACAGGAGGTGCTGGGAGAGAGGACCAGTGGAAAGACACAGGGTCCCTATGCAGAAAGGGTTATTGCTGCAGCTCCACCATAGTTTCAGCCGCAAGGAAGGAAAAAGCCTCCTGAACTCTCCAGTGAAATGATACAGGAGACGACATTTGACAAGGGGACCCTCATGGAAATTTGCTTGCTCCATCAAATGTTAGTGCCCAGGCTTATTTACACATGGAGAACATACTGGCCCCTCACTGTTGCTTTAACTCAGAGTCCAGGCTTATCTGTGCTTTGTATACCAAATGACTATGGACTTCAGCAGGACTTTCTCCTGCAGCCACAGAATTTGCAGGATCAAATCTTCAGCTTTCACCTGGGAAAAATGCCACACAGAAGCCTAAAAATGTTTTATGGCTTTTTATGTCACCCATAAACCATCTCACTGTGCAAGACAGAAGCCAAGCTGAAGTCACTATGTATTCCAAACATCAGCTATTAGAGATTTAAAGGCAGGATCTGGGATTTTTTTTTTATGTTTTGTTTTGTTATGGTTTGGTTTGGTGTTTTTTTTATATAATGAATGCTGTTTATAATGAAGAGGTTCAGCTAGAGCAGAGGATGAGCTGGAATCGGTTTTTAGTGAATGGCAGCAGACACATGACTATGCTGAGATAATCAATTTAGGCCTGCCTCTTCCACTGTTGAAGGCAATGGAAGTCATTATTTCAACGGGAGTGAATTTAGGCCCTTTAGAATAATAGCATCATTGATGTTATTATTCTGAAGCTGGAATTATTCTGAAACTGATTATTTCCATACCGTCATGTGTCTGCTTCATCAAATGCAGCTTGTTCAGGAAGCTCTACTGGGGCCTAATCTAAGGATTTTCACTGCCAGTAATGCTAATCCGTTTAAATAGTATGTAGGTGAGAAGCTCCTGAAGGCCCCAGCATTCTTTGCTGTAGACCTTCTGTAACTTTGGGGCTTTTCAACAGGGCTTTGATTTTCTCACATGCTTAATCATTTTTAGACATTAACAAGCTCAGATTCATAGGAACAAATGTTGAAAGGGGCACAAAGGGACAGAAAGAGGGCAGAGCACAATCCCTCCCCCCGACCCCATTGCCTATGCATCTAAGATGCATCCAAGTAAGTATTACATCTATATTCTCTGTTTTCCCTTATCCCCTGGGCACCTGCTAGAATGTGGCAGCAACCAAGAGGTAAGTGGACACTACACCTTTTTTAAAGAAGACACCAGTTCTGTGCAGAGGATCTTTGCCTCAGGTCTTGCTTCTCTCCATCTTTCTATCTGCACGAGAAGTATACAAGACACCTATGTTAGCCAATAGATGGCATAACCAAAAGCACTAGCAGCTTTAGTGTGCTGAAATAGAAATGGAAACAGCCTCATTTCATATTGGCCAGGAAAATGCTGTTTAGTTTTTGTGATCAAAAATGAACTTCTCTCTCAATTCGATGTCTCCGTATTTGATAAGATTCTCTATCCATACTAGGGTATAGGCAAATATACCAATTACAGTGACTGGAAATTTGCCATGCATCAGCTGCTCTGTGGGAACAGTCCATATGCCCACTCTTCTTTGCAAAAAACCCCTGCAATTTTGCCGTTTGATTTAGGGGTGAATTACCATGGTTTACTTATCACTTATGAAGGAGTAAATGCAGATACACAGAGTGTTACTGAGGAGCAGCTGATCCTTTCTAAGTCATCACCCTGTGCTAACTCACTGAATTTTGTCAGATCTACATGTATGAATTGCTAAAAACTACTGGAGCAGTTGCAAAAACTCTCTTCCATGTAGTAGTCTGGTTTAATGTTGCTTGGCTTGCAGTTGTGGATGTAGTTTGCTCACTTCAAAAAATACCAGCCCCACATACACAACTTATTTCCAGATGTGGGTTCTGGCTAGCAGTTGAGAGATGGACAGAAATAGTAAACAACTATGAAATACCATAACCACATGAAATCACATACTGTTCTTGACATTGGATACATTTTCTTCGTAGGTAGATTAATAGAGTCGTTTCTGGGTCAGCATTTTTTTCTACTACCTGAAAGAAGAGAAAAGGATTGAAAATCACCTGATCAAGCTTCATTTATGCAGCAGTACAGATACATTGAATTTGAAAAGTCAATTCAGTCCAAGTACAACTTTCTTCACATTGGCGTCATTAGAAATGTGATTAAGTTGGCCTGTTGGCTTCAACTGAGTAGCGCCATTGCTGACCATTAAAAGTTATTTATCAATGTAAGAAGACAATTAATTCTTGTGTCTGAATTCCACCCCAAGATTAAATTCTAATTCTGATTTACCCTGCAGCTTCTCTAGTCCCCTGTTAGTATTATATTGATAGTTGTTACGTTAATAAGCATCTTGAACAAGGAATCTTAATCTGCACATTTCAACTCAACTCAGCCTTAATTGTTAATAATGTTGTTTACTGTTATCTATTATATTTAAAACCAGGTTTCACTTGAACCTCTGATCTATGGTCAAAAATCAAAGTTCTGTTCTCCATCTCTTCCTGACTACAGGGCTTGTTCTTCTCTTTTGTTTTTAACAGTGTCAAAGAACATTTCCAAATGAATTGTGTAACAGCATGGGATCATGTATTCTTGGCTCTTATAATGTTCAAGTCCTAAGGATGTTAGTTGCAGTTTATTTATGCTAATCTGTCCCAGTTTTGAAGGACAAACTAAAACAAAGGACACTTGTATGACCTCTTTAAAGATGAGATTTTACTGCCTTGTCCCTTTTTCCTGGGTTTTATCCCTCTGGCATGCAGTAGGATTATTTAAAAAAAAATTCTGAGAAGAAACTGTAATACTTCCCAACCAAATCCATATTTTTAGAACTGGATGATTAAACTACTTCTCCAAAACACAGCTAAACAAATGCTGCACATGTATATTTAGGATGGTAAGTAGGGTCCACATTCCCAACCTAGGGATGGTCCTCTTGGCAAGAAGACAGTCCCTCTCCAGCTGCTTCTGTAACTTCTGAGTGTTAATGGATTCCCTTCCTTGTACAGTCTTTTGGAAGAGTATGACACAGATCCAGTCATTCTTCCCATCACCAAGCACGATGGCTCTCTCTGCTTTAGTCTGCTCAGCATAAGCACATAACCCTCTCCGCTCTCCATGAGTTTAAAATAGACATTCCTGTGCAGAGGTTCCATCAGCATCCATGGGCACCACATGGTCTCCCATGAGCAAGAGTCCTTCAGCAGTTCTTGTGTAAATAAGTAAGTGCCATCCTAGGACTGCACATCTGAGTAAAATGTACCTATTTGCATGGTCACCTGAGTAATAAAAATGGTATTTTGCTCAGAAACAGTGGTCTCTTGAAATTCTTTTCACGCGCTACTTTTTCCCAAACAAATGTTTACCAAGCCAATCAAAGTGCACTTGCTTTTTTGTAGAATGTGCACAGGCTCAGTCTGACCCTTATAAGCAAAACTGTCTCTACCTTATCCAAGTATGAAAAGGGAATTGGATAATTTTCATAATGACTTAAAACTTCTGGGTTTTTCCATGCTTGGGTAAACCCAAGAAACAAGGAGGATTTTTTTTCAGTAATAACTTTTATTGGACTAACTGTACAGTTGAGAAGGATGTTAGACAAAGTTTTGGATCCTTCATCAAGTCTTTGTGGCCAAAAGTTTGTCTAACATCTCTCCCAACTATACAGTTGTTCCAATAAAAGATACCACCAGAAAAAACCTTGTATTTTGCCTAGCCATAATAACAGTCCAACCCCAATATGCAGCTAAACACATAACAGCCAAACTCGCCACATAATGAACAAAGCCTGAATGCTTGCACATATTTGCAGCAAGCTAGCTTTTCTACCTCTCTCACTGAATGAAATCTCTCTGTCCCTAAAAGTAAGAATTTCTCTTTTAAAAAAGAGATGCAATTCAAGATGGCCTTTTAAAAAAAAATGCTTTTAACGGTTTACCAGGGAGGTAATAAATTCTCCATCACTTACAATCTTTAAACCAAGCTTGCATGCCTTCTTGAAAACTGTGGTCCAGTTCAATCATCAGTCATTGCACTAATGGTAGGAATGACTGGGTGAAATTGAAGGTGGTTTCATTTTTGGGAGATCAGAATAACAGATCAGAGTCCCTTTTGACCAACCTCAGCAAAACCAAATGAGCAAACTTATAGCCACACAATATCAGTCAGCCATATGATATAAGAAAGAGCTCTTCTATGCTCTTCTAATGGACTCTGGTGATTTATTATTCTGTTCACAAATGGCTCAGAGCTATGACTTTCAGATCTCAATCCAGACTTCCCCAGAGTTCAAGAGTAGTAGACTCTAGGTTCCGGGTCAAGCACATCTACAGCCAAATTTAAGAAAATTCTTATTTATGTTCTAATTTGATGCTATCTCTATGCCTGTGATAGAGATGGAAATACTGGGTCTGTGTGAGTGCATACTTAATACCATCTTCTTCTCATGTCCTGTCTGAGATTGTTCCTGGCTGTGACACTTCTGCTATAGCCATTACAGCTGTTGGAATTCTAGGCTGTTAAGCAGTGCAACACCCATTTTGGACAGCCCTTAATGAGGTAGGTATGTGCACATCATGCCTAATACATGGAGGATAAAATAATTTACATCAAATAGCAGGTGCCAAGCATACTGCTGCCTAGTACAAACTCATCACGACCATGAAAATAACTTCATGTGCATATAGCGCTAGCCTTGCCAGCACTAAACAGGTGCTTCAAATAAAAAATCCTGAATGTGAAGCATGTGCAGCTGTTATGAAGTACCTTTTTCATAATAACATTAAAGATGTTGCAAAAAATCTTAATGTTATCATAATAACATTAAAGATGCAAATGCAAAAAAATAAAAGCTACTGCTATGAAAGTTCATATCTTATCATGCCCCTCTTATCATGCACCTTAGCCATGTAATAGAACACTGATTGCTGATTTGCAATGTCAAGCTGTCATGAATAGCTATAGCAGTAACCTTTCCCATTAACTACAGGACAAGGTATCGTGTTCCTTTCAGTAAAACTACTGGAACTCCCTTATCCAAGCTCCCAGGAGTGTTTTAGGATGAGTGGACCATATTGACTTTTAAATTATGTCTTCCATGCAGAAGTATCCCAGTGAACCTTATAATTGGGCCCATTCATAAGAATTTTTTTAATAGAATTGGCCCAATCCTTTATTCTGGCTTTTACACTCAGAACTTGCATTTTGTGGGAGGGCAACACAAACCACAACACCACATCCAAAAGTAGGTAGGCAGCATAATGCCGGGGGCATTTGTCAGAGTACACTCATTCTCCTTTTTGTAAGCACAGCCTGTTCCCTTAACAAGGTTGGCCTAGTTCCAAAAACTAGCATGGAAGGGGATGAAGCAATCTTTGCAAGCAGGTGGCTCTGCTGGTAGCATGAGCAGTCTCCCAGTGGTGGCAGCTGGGAAATGCAAGGGCCAGTACCATGACTATCCTTTCAGAGATGCACAAGATGACTGAAGGGCTCTTTTGCATCTTTGCCCCGTGCCCGCCCATACAGGACCGACTACACTATGGCCTAACATGAGCAGAGCCTGAGTATGAAGGAATACAATCCTATACAAACTGCCAATGTACAGGTCAGAGGGGAGGGGGTGCCAGCCACAACATGTACAGCAACCCCAGGGCACATTCAGAGTAGACTACAAGCTCAGGGGCTGGCTGTGTAACATCCCTAGGCTTTCCATGTGCCTAAAACCCCTGCCCTCCTCACAGGTAGGCTGGTAATCAGACAGAAGTCTAAACTTTAAGATTCACTGTTCAACAAGTTCAAACCAGAGCTCTGACCTCAAATATCTGCAAACTCTGGGAAGGTTTGAATTCAAGTCTAAACTGAAAGCCTGACCCACAAGTTACTTTCCATCTCTGGTTGGGACAGGGACAGCCAATTAATTGGGTTGTGCACTGCAGAGTTCTGGGAACAGCAACACAGGCTGCAGAAAAGCAGTCAATTCAATTCTGAGCCAAATAAGGATACAGTATATCCAGATGGGCCAGGGGGAGAATGGCCATTGAATCCAGCTGCTGATTCTCCAGGCAAGATTCTAGTCTTTCCCTGGTTGGCCCTTTCCCTTCCAAGCCAGGGTACAGGGAACCTCCAGTCTCCCCAGGTCTGTGCTCCACCATGGCACACGAAATTTGCACCTCTCTTTCTTAACATGATACTGCCTATGCAACAGCACTGCATCCATCTCAATGGCTAAAAAGGAGGCGGCATAATTCGGCTCATATTAAACTTGGATACAGCTAAATGCTATAGTGCAGCAGAGTGCCAGCCCCGATTTGTTTCAGGGCATTACAAGATGGAAAGTGCAGTCCTTGTTGCATCAACCAAGGGGATACTGTGAGAAAGTGAATTCTACTTGGACACAAAAACCACTCCATTTACCTTTGAAATGCAGCCACTTCTTGGGTGATAACTGGTATTTGATCTGATTTCATTTTTATTTGTGCAATACCAGTTACTCAATTTATTTCTAAAGAGGATTCAGCTCCATACATGGAAATGAAGTGAATGTTTAATTCAAATTCAGTTGGGTATTGAAAACCATAAGACACAGTCATAATAATCTACTGAATACTTACAGATTTGTATAGGTATTCAAACTGTTTCAAGCAATGACATGTATTTGTAGTAAATAAGTGGCTATATTTACAGCTTACTATAAAGTAACTAACTAACGATTACCACAGAAATGTACTGAATTATTATTACAATCATGAAAAAACCTTTGAAAAACAAATAACTTAAAATAATTTAGTCTGTCTTTCATGTAATTCATATTATTATTTGATTAATGCCACCCCTTTTAAAATGTTATAATAAAGTCATAAAGCATAAATAAATATACAAATGGGCTACAAAGTTGCAAAGCAAAACAATACATATCCCTCACAACCCTAATTGAAAAGAGTGTTGTTGTGACTGCTTCTATTGTCACTGCTAGTCTGTAGTAAGAAAACTTCAGAGGAAGACAGCATGATAAAATTAGTGATTAATCCACCCACAATCCAGGGGCAAAATGCTGAAATCACCCCTTACCTTTTTACCGTTCACAAAGAAAACAAGTTCATCCCCTGTCCCTCCTGAAGCCATGCCAAGTATCTTCCAAAATACAATGTATAGGAACCACAGATACCCCCTCCAAGATCAGCCCCACACACCACCGGACAAGTGAGCACTGATGACACTAAGACAAGCAATATGAGCCTGACTTACGAATGTTTAACTTATTTCTACATTAGTGCCCCAGGTTATATAAGAGCCACCATGGAAGCATGCCAGCTGCACTTGGTTGGTGCTTCTGCAGCAGTAATGACAAGAAAAGGAGTTGGAAAGAGTCAACAAAGTGACCCGCCCCTTTCATATGCTAAGAGATTAACATGAATCATGATTATATCGGATTCCCATTGAGAAAGACAGTGTGAAACTGGATGCGTCCAAAGTACAGCACTGCAACAACTGCTGGGAATTCACAGCATCCTACGGGTAGTATTTTTCTAACCACCTATCACTGAGAATTACCCAAGAACTGTTCTGGTTTTCTTGCATTACAACAACTTATCTTGATGACTATAACTTTGAAAGAGACTTTCCTATCTGAGCACTGAAGACCCCAGATGCATACAGACCAGCTAATAGAGTCACTGTGTGAGACTAATTTATCATTTTTTTCTAACTGTTTGGAATCCTTCAGTACTTTCCATCTGAAAGGAAATAAGTTAAACAAACAAATGTTAATACAGATGCACGCGCACACACACATTACACATGTATAAGTAAGTCTGGAGAATTAAACTCTTTCAGTCCAGTCCAGGTGAGCACTTAAGCAGATGGTTGATTTTCAGCACGTAAATCATTCCATTAAATCAATGAGACTGCTCACATGCCTGCGTTGATTTGCTGAATTGCTGAATCATGGCCATCAGTGTCTAATGGGCTCCTCAGGCCCTTGGACTTACTCAGTTTGGTGAATTCAGATGTGGTGTATCTTGATAGCCAAGCCCAGAAAAACAATCAATTCTTTGAAGGTCCGTTTATCTTCAGTTTCTGTGTTTGTCATTCTTTCTGGCTTCTATTCCCCAGCCTTACCTTATGTTTGGCTTAAAACTGTTTTCTTGGTAGCTGTCACACAGTTGTCCCACCAAGCCCTGGCATGCTGGTGCTGTTGTAGTTTTGTTTATTGAATCAACATCTTCATTTCTAAACCAGGCAAATTTCCCTCTTAATTCCTACATGACTTCATAATCTAAGCAGACAAAAAAAAAATTCCCTAGTGTAATGGATAGTCTTCTTTCCTCCTGTGTAGTTTTTGTAACTCGTTCTCTATTCATTTATTTTGTCTTATAAGAATCTCTCGGCAACAGTAGTTTCACCAGTGTTATGTGACTTTGACTTTCTTAAAACTCTGGGGAAGAGCCACCTCTAGGTCTATTTTCCCACACCTGTTCTGACAGGTCAGACAATTTAAAAAAATGAAACAGCAAAATCTAAATAAACTACCACACCCAGAAACAGTCTCTCCACAAATACTCTGGAAGGCTGTCACAGTGGGAACACAAGACATGTATTATTTTACTAGCATATATTTCCTGTTCTTATCCACCAAGACATGAGAAAAAATTACCCCTGCTGCTTGACAATAGGTGTCAGTAATGGGTTCAGTGTTGATTCAGGGAGAGACAGAGAGACATACTGTTTAACTGCAAATATAGCCCATGGCAAACCACATCCAGTACCATTTCTAAGAATGTAGTAAAAGCTTGTTCCAATAGGTTTGCTCAAATGGCGATAGAAACAGGTTGACCTGTTCTACAGTTGAAGTTAAATTGTGTGTAGACAAAACCAGTGCTGGGACTTCTTGTCTTGCATCCCCTTGGGAGCACTAGCTAACCCATCTTTCTTTTCTCCCCTCTGAGAAATAGAAAAGGAATTCCCGGGAATCATCACCTCAGCTGAGCTCTCTGTGTAAATCTACAGCACACTATCCTAGTATAACAAGGATACAAATTCAGCACCCATAAGCTTAATGTTTTAAAGCTGTTTTGAAATATTTTAAGTAACAACCATTAGTCAGAACTACAGACAATATAGTAAAGTACCTTAACCTAAAGTTACTATAAACAACATAGTATTAATATGGTAAGAAAATGTTTTCAGTTTCATCATCTTTATTTTCCACAAAGTAAGATGTTCTGTTGTGTACAAATAATGCAGATAGTTTCACATATAATCACATATTGTGTTCTTTGTTTAAGACTTTAAACAATACCAATCTTCGTATTGCATACTCTAAGTTCATTGTCATAGTCCTATAGCTAAGGTTACAACCAGCTTTCCATCATACAGAAAGCGTATTTGTGATCTTCCTAGTGTAGCTATCCGTACAGCTATGGAATGCATCACTGTACTCTTTGGGACCACACAGATATTGATGCATTTATCCTTGCATCACCCCCATAGTCCAGGTTAGTGCTGTTAGCTCCATTTTACAGATGAAAATTTAGGCATAAAGGATTTTTAAAAGCACCTAAAATTTAGGAACACATGGAGCTGGTGCTCTTAACTCTTTTGAAAACCTTGTGCTCAGTGAATCACTAAAGGTCACACAAGGAGCCTGTGGCAAAAAAGAAACTTAACCAAAGATTCTTAAGTCCCAACTCAGCACTCTAAACACACAACCCCTCTACATTTATCCTTTTATAGCATAAAAGTTATTGTGCTTAAACTAAGTCAAAAAGAGAAATTTCAGTTACTCAGAAGCAGTCATTATCAGCCAAGCTATTTGGGAGCAATAGGGCATTGAAAGTGCAACAAGTTTCTGACTTGTAAGAAGTTTCCTTTTCTCTATTCATATCTCAGCAACAGCTTCATTTTACATGTTCAGATTTCCCACAGCCTCACTTAATTTTATTAACTAGTTCAGGGACTATTAGAAACAGTATTAACTCCTCCCTCCAACCTTCAAAAGGACTTTTTTGCAAACTTACTGGTTAATCCTGTGGATCTAGTTACTGCAGTAAATTAATAACCTATTCCTTAGATGATAACTTTACTGATTATATGTACCAGAGAATAAGCATGAAGAAATGTAAAGAAACAGTGCTTGCTCTGAGGAATTTACTGTCTAAATTAGACAAACACATTCAACAGATAACAGTAAGCAGATGAAAGAGGAAACAGAGGGGGAAGGGTATAACACAGTTTCATAATTAGTAGGGTCGGAAGGAACCTGAGTAGATCATCTAGTCCAACCCCCTGCCATGGCAGGAAAGAGTACTGGGCTCAAACGACCACAGCAAGGTGTTCATCTAACCTCCTCTTAAAGACCCCCAGGGTAGGAAACAACACCACTTCGCTTGGAAGTTGGTTCCAGATCCTAGCTGTCCTGACTGTGAAGTAGCGCCTCCTGATGTCTAATCTGAATTTACCCTCTGCCAGCTTGTGACCGTTATTTCTAGTCACTCCTGGTAGTGCTCGGGGGAACAGGGACTCCCCCAATCCCTGCTGGTCCCTTCTGACTAGTTTGTAA